TGCACCGAAGTGTTATAGGCGAACTCGATGTCGGGAAGCCGGTCAACCCAATCTTTCTGGTCGGGACGGATGAGCGTACGCAACATCATCTGAGCGGTTTGGTGCGCTGGCTCCGTCTGACCATCCGTCTGCGGGTGCCGAGCCGAGCTCGGCTTCATAGTCGTACCGAACTCAGCCATGAGGGAAGTCCAAAAGGTCGACAGGAAGCGAGTATCTCGGTCGCTCACTATGTCTTCCGGAACACCCTGGTTGGTAATCCAACCGGTGTGCAAGAGTCGTGCGAGCTCTGGTGCTGCAGCATAATACTTGCAAGGAAGGAAGCGAGCATACTTGCTCAAACGGTCAATGACCGTGAGAATACCGTCATGGTCGTTGCGATCGCGGGGAACGGGCGTGTCACGTCCATAACAATGGAGAGGCGCGGTGCCCGAGGAATCGGCAACGGTTTCAGTTCGCCGAAGGGGACTCGAGATCGACCCTTGTTGTGGTGGCAAACTGCACATGACTCAATGTACCTCGTGACGTCATGAAGGACGTCTGGCCAGTGAAAACGCTGGCGGAGGCGTGCTAACGTGCGTTTCACGCCAAGGTGTGCCGAAAGTCGTGCGTCGTGGAATTCGCCGAGAAGATGAGTCCATAAGATGCGAACTTGGGGCACAACTAACAAGTCCTTTCCTCTCGTGTGAAGGAGAAGGAACCCGTCGGAAATCCGATAATGGCTAGCCGGCGGGTGATCCGATGAAAGCTCTGCGTAAAGCGTAGAGTAAGTCGGATCGGACTTGTAGCCTTTGACGAAATGCGGCTGCAGATCGTCATCGAGGTCGAATGCCGTGGTCACAATGGCACAAAAGTCGGGCCATCGCGATAGGGCGTTTGCAGCTCGATTGGCGGGACCGGGAATGTGGCACGGGTCAAAATCGAATTGGTCGATGTAATACATCCATCGACCGATGGTGCTCGTGACAGTGTCCTACATTTTGTAAAAGGTCAACGGATTGTTGTCCGTATTCCATTTAAAACGCCGACGGTCGAGAAGAAAGTGGCGCCACCGTTTGAGAACGGTGACGAATGCGAGTAACTCTTTCTTCCTAGCATCGTCGAGAGTGTTTACGAGAGGCACCTTATGGGAGAAATACTCGACCGGATGCCAACCGTCCTCGTGGCATTGTTCCAACACCGCCCCAATGCCGTATCCCGAAGCGTCCGTAGTCACTTGGGTGGGAAGGGTGGGGTCATATATACGGAGGGCAGGTGCATCTTGCATCGCTGCCTTCAACGTAGTGAACGCGTCACGGGCTGCGTCATCGAACTCGAAGGGCACCTTCGGGGGCTGAAGTCTCGACAAAGGCGCTGCCACTTTCGAGTATGACTCGACGAATCGCTGATAATATCCAGCCAATCCCATGAAAGAGCGTACGTCCGTCGTACAACGGGGTTCCGGCCAATCCACGATGGCTTGGATCTTGTCCGCTAAGGGACGAATGCCTTTCGGCGTAACGTAGTGGCCCAAATACTCAAGCTCTTGCTTGGCGAACTCGCACTTGTCGCGGTTTGCTTTGTACTTGGCCAGTCGCAAGCGATTCAAAACGGCGCGAAGGTGTGTGATGTGCTCGTCCACCGTCCTGCTATAGACCAAGATGTCATCGAGGTAGATGAGGACGCTGCGATCGAGCAAGTCGCGAAACTCCATCGTCATAGTTGCTTGAAAAGTTGCGGGGGCATTGGTGAGGCCAAAAGGCATGACCACCCACTCAAAATGCCCGTACCGCGTCTTGAACGCGGTCTTGTACCGATCTTGAGGCTGGATTTCAATCTGGTGGTAACCTAACTTCAAGTCCAACTTCGAGAAGTACGTCGCGCCGCCTAACCGCTCAAGGAGATCATCAATCCGAGGGAGAGGGCCGACGTTCTTTACGGTTTAAGTTTGCGATAGTCGATGCATAACCGTAGATCTTTGTTCTTCTTCCGGACGAAGAGAACAGGTGCACCGTATGGCGAGCAACTAGGGCGAATCCAGCCCTTGTCGAGAAGGTCATCGAGTTGTGCACGAAGCACCTCGAGTTCCTCTTCGCTCATGTGGTAGATACATCCACGCGGAGGGACGGCGCCCGCCTCGAGAGTGATCCCGTGACGTATGGGCCGATCCGGAACCGTTCTGGTGGGAGCCTCAAAGACGTCTCCATACTCGTCCAAGAGGTGCGTGATGCGTGGGTCCGGCGGTGACGCGGCTGGTCCGTCCGGCGAGGGGAGAGCATGCAAAAATACAACGCCCATCTCCTCGACCTCATTCCGAGTTATGGCGTCGAGAATTCTCGCAACGGAAACCACGTGACAAGCAATCGAAGTGTGAGGGGTCGCGACCGTACATGGGACTAACACTCTGTTCCGATCACGGATGTGAACGGTCCGGTCGTGGAAGTTCACCGGATGATCGGCGCTATGCAACCAAGACATGCCTAGAATCATGTCGAACTCGGTGTCGAGGATGTCAAAAGACACCGGCTCGCACACAAGAGGCGCAAAGTATACCGGGACGCCGTCGACGCATCGGTCAATTGACTTTTGCGTGCGGCCGTCTGTGAGTGTAACTTGCGTGGGTTGCGTCTTCCTTCGAACGCGCGGGCCAAGACCTGCGCGGGCCATAAAGTTTTGGCTCATAAAGTTGCGAGACGCTCCGCAATCAATCAAGGCACTACAGGTTGCCTTTTCGATTTGAATGCGGATATAGAGCAAAGGTGCGTCGGTTTCGGCGTACCTTTGGGTGGCGTTGCAATGGGGCCTTGGCAAGGTTCCGGTCGAGGGTAGAGGCATCCAAGCAAAGTCCTCTCTTGTGAGTGGGTCAAGCTCCTCAAGTCTTGACCACGCCGTCGAGTCCTCGGAAATCTGTGGCGAACTGACCGGATCACTTGCCGACGGTGTACAGGCTGCGCATACGCAATCTAAGTGCACGTGGCTTGGCTGGTCTAGTGGTGGTACCAGCTGGGCGGCATAATCCTCGTACGTGGCACGAGAATCAGCGACTAACGCATGCTCGCCGGTAGTGACATCGATTGCTAGCAAGGCAACCGGTTCCGGCGGAGTGAGGAGAGACGTCGCCCCTCTCCTTGCGTAACTCAGTTTTCCGAGTTTGTTGGACGGGGTACGCGTGCCTTGCCCTTTTCGGGGCATTGTGCGGTCACATGAGTGACGCCGCCAAAGGCAGTATCCGTACTTTTGACGAAGGTCATAGACATCCTTGGTTATCTTGTAAGCCGTCCATGGCTGCTGCCCAGTTCCCGTCGATGCCGTCTCTTGTGTCGCCTTGTTCTTCCGAACTCTCTTGGGACGCTTCGGCGGGAGCGCTGCTACAATTCCTCCATCAGATCGTCTGTTTCTTCAGAAATCACGGCATGGTTGTGTGTCGGACGTTGATAGCCATGCTTAGCCACATAATGCGGCTGGGACTGCCGTTCGTTTGCGGCCTTGTCATCCGTTTGGATGACCAAGTTTGCACGATCCAGAATGGCCTGGAATGAATCATAATCGTACTCGTTGCCGAGTGCTGATCGCAGTCCTGCGCACGATCGCGAGAAGAACTCGGATCATTGATTGGTAAAACTCAAATCGAAGCCGGGCGTGGTCACCATCTTCTGCCACTTAGCTGTCTAGTCTCGAGTTGGCATACTACCTTGAGAGCAGGTGTACACCTTGTTCATGGCCGCCTTCATGACGTTGGGGACCATGAACCGGGTGAACCATAGCTTCTCGAACGCCTTCCACGTGATGTGCGTGTGGAGTTCGGCGATGGTGTAGTTGTTGGTAGCTGCCAGATGGTTCATCCAAGCCTGCGCTCCTCCAATCAGTTGCAAGTAAAGCGCCTTCATCATGTCGTCCGCCGGGACAGTGCGGCATGATGCTTCCATGAGGAAACGTTGCCACCATGTCAAGGCGTCCGACTTGTTGAAGTCATCGAACTTGCTGATGTCGAAGTGCGACATCTTGTAAGTCTTCGTAGCGGCGTCCGGTCTCGTCTGCAGCTTGGTGATGTACGTCTTGATGGGGGCCACCGTACTACTGATCGTGTCCGGTCCATTGAAAACACCTATGTCGCCAATGAGTTTGACGACGTGATTGATGTGCCCATTGAGCTGCCTCGTCTCGTCTGTCGTGCAGCCTGGCGCTGCTGAGGCCTTGGCCTCAATGCCGTTGATGTGTGCGAGGGTAGAGTTCAACAGCTGTTGCTGTTGCTGCTGCTGCGTTGCTGCGTCGCGGACGACAGCCGTTACAGCGGCCAGGTCTTGCTGGTACTGCTGTCGTTGCTGTCGTTCCGCGTGCAGGTGTGCCTGCAGCAGTTTGTTGTTCCACATTACTCCCCTCATCACGTTCAACATCACGGTAGCCAGGTTACTTCTCTCTGCCTCCTCCTGTGTGGGCTCCGCCTGCGTTTCCGTAGGCACAAAGAACATGCCTTGAAGCAGTGTTGTCCACTGATTTTCACATGCAATCAAGGACTCCGTGCTGGCGGCATTCCGTCGGTCTCGTGCCACTGCGTCAGCCTCAGCAGTCTGCTGAGCTTGGGCTGCCACTTCATTGGCCAGCCGCTGACGTTCTGCCTCTGCTGCCTCCTGCTGAGCCTTGGCGGCAGCTACGGCATCTGTAAATACCTGTAGCCGCCCCAGATAGTCAGCCAACGGCTCACTGGCCCCTCAGACCGGGCATGCGGGAAGAACTCCGGTGGTGTCCGATACTATCAATGCTGTACTTGATGCTGCTGGAGCCTTCCGCTTGCTGAGTCGCGTGGGTCTTGGAGGTACCGCAGAACGGGCACGAACTGCAAGCCTGGCACTACGTCGTGGCAGTGCCCCGGTGTCCTGGACTGATGTGGTACTTGAGAAGTCCCGGTGGTCACAGATTTCGGGGAGGGTAGAAAGAGAGTGGGCACAGGGGTAGAACAATCAAACAATACACATGCAGTCCCGTCCCACTGATGTACTGTAGACACCTAAGCAAAACAGAAAAAATAAATTTCTCGTAAACAATTCAAAAATTCGTAATAAGAAATAAAATTAACGAATTATTTAATCAATAAAGTTAATTAATGATAAATAACGAAATAATAACTCTTAATGATAATCAATAACAAATAAAGATAATCAATAAACAAATTTTGAATTGTATCAAGATTAGGTGTCCGTTGAGATGACAAGCTGAAGATCTGCGGACGAGTCGCGCCTGCGCCTTCCGGTGAGCGCAACGACGTGCGCTAATTTTCGCGTCGGTGGCTCACGCCACTCGCGCCCGCAACCGGTCCAGAGGTTTCGCGCCATCATTCGAAATTTGGCTGACGACGCACACGACGGGCAACGCCGACGCGCTTCCTCTCCCGAAGAGGACAGGGCACCCCATAGCCCTGTCGGGACGTGGAGAAGCTCCAAAGCGCCTACCCCGGACGCAAGTGGTCGGTATGTGCCAATATCTGGAACAAGGCGAATGCCAATTTTCTCAAATCGTCTGAATCTGGCCGACATCTGGCCCAGATTCAGGTTCCTCTCTGAGCAGAACGCGAGGGCGAACAAGAACACTCGAGAAAACTCTGCTAGCTCTCTCCAAGTTCAAAAAGTCGAGTGTCGAACGCGAATTGGGGCGAGGTCAACGACAGGAACCAA